TACCATCTAATTTTAATTTTAATTTAATTTTAAATAGTAATAAATTTCTCTCTCAAAGGCGTCGTTATATAAAAAAATATAAAATAATACAACGTATCGTAAGGAATTTATTATTTGTTAGAATTTAACAGAATATATAACGGAATATAACTGCAGAACAATATTTTTTAAAAGTGAATTAATAAATATTACATTAAAACATTTCTTTATTCTATTTAATATTTTAATGTAACATTTACTTAATTTATTTTTTAATTATCTAACTACAATAAAAATATATGCAAAATTTAGCGCCCTATCTGTATGTTGGCGTGTTTTAGAGATGTATACCGCCGTTTGAAAATGCAGCTTTCAACGTGCTAATAGAGGCGACAAATACATGCGGCGAGGATCGTCCAATCGAATTCTGTAAGCAGACAGGCGTGCAAAAGAAGTCATGCGAAATTTGCCGACGCGGCGACCATTCGGCCTCCTTCCTTACTGATCATGACAATAATGACAATGCTACTTGGTGGCAATCGGACACTATGTACGAAGAATATCCCAACCAGGTCAATCTCACCCTCCCTCTAGGTGCGTTTTCGTCGCAATATATCGCCCTGTAGAAGATCTCTATGTCTCTTTTGTCTCTTTTTATTGAGAGACATTTAGTTTCTGGTTTATACTTTCTCTCTTTTTTTTCTACGTCTCTTTCACTCTCTTGTTCATACACATACTCTCTCTTTCTCTCATCCTACTTTCTTATCTATGAGGATGTATGCGCGATGAGATAAATCATAACAGTGTATAGAGGATGATGAAGAAATCACAGAAGAGCTCTCATGAGCTTTAAAAACGAATTTATTATTACGAATTTATTCTCGTTTCTAATTAATTTAAAATCTAATTTGGAAGAAATTGTTATAATAAAATTCTTAGTTGAAATATTTTAACTTAAGAATTTTTATTATAACGATTTAGATATTTTAAGCAGTTATATACTAGATGGATTACCTATATACATATGTGCGCAAAGAGTGTACAATAAATTCAATTCAATTCAATTAACAGCCTAGCAATTGAAGTATTCCTGAATAAAAATGACAGATAATACATTTCAATTAACTTTTAAGTTAAACGCAAGGATCGATTTTTTAAGTCTTACAACGTTATTTTTAATAAAATTTGTCATAATTCTTTATTATATATTTTTTACTTTAAAATATGATACTATTTTAGTGCCACTACAGTGATTTTTCTATCCTATAAAGATTAATTTTTTATTTGCTATTTATATATTTTCATTCTCTATTCTTATCATATTTACTGCGTTACTTACTGCTCTATTATACTGATAAAACTCATTATTGTTATGCAATTTTCGCTATAAAATTCTTATCAAAATCTAGACACATAAACAGCAGCTTCTGCTTTTTGGGGTGCCGCTCGCATCGTGTTTCTTGTCTATAAACTTAAGTTCAGCAGCATATAGATAAAGCTTATTATTATTACTATTATATATTTTTTATTTATGTTTTATAATATTCTGATTTTAAAATTAGGAAAGACATTTGACATAACATACGTCAGAGTACTGTTCGAGTCGCCCCGGCCGGAAAGCTGGGGTATCTACAAGCGGAAAAATGAGAAGTCGCCGTGGGAGGCTTATCAATTTTATTCAGCGACGTGCCGGGACACGTACGACCTGCCCGAATCTAAAGAGACCATTCGCGGTGACGACACCCGCGTACTATGCACCTCGGAATTTTCTGACATCTCTCCACTCACTAAAGGCACCGTCGCCTTTTCGACCTTGGAGGGCCGACCTTCTGCCTATTATTTTGAAACCAACACCGAACTTCAGGCAATTATATAATTAAAAACAATATATTCTGTGTATATAACATTCTTATAACTTTAATTCTATTTGTAATATACAGTAAAAATTTGTATTTTACATTAAAATTATTTTGATTCATTAATGAGATCAGGGAATTGTTATAATCAGCCATAAAAAATTAGAATAGTTGATTAAAGAAAAAATACTAATAATTTAATAAACTTAAAGTAAGAAATTTAAAGCAAGAAGTAATTTGAAAGAACGAAACTTCTTTAATTATAAAATTAAAAGTTTTTTATAGTTTGTTTATGTTTATCATAATTGTTTACGGGTAGCTTAAGAGACGCGATTTATTTTATAGGAATGGGTTCAAGCATCAGATTTGAAAATTACTCTAGACAGGTTGAACACGTTTGGCGATGAGGTTTTCGGCGACGCGCAAGTGCTGAAATCTTATTATTATGCGATAGCTGATATAGCAGTCGGTGCGAGATGCGCTTGCAATGGCCACGCCGGAGAATGCGTGAACAGCACTAGTGTCGACGGCAAAACTCGCAGAGTCTGCCGGTAATAAGTCTTATCTCTTAGCAATTTTTTATATATACGTACATATGCAATTATATTTTGATATTTGACATC